ATGACCAGACACACCAGCTGAACCTCACCAGATACTATAGCCAAAAAGACAATCAAACATAGCAGATCAGGTGATGACTTCAGCCAGGGGCTCATAAGTATCTCCAGAAAAGGAGACAGTCAAACACCTATCCAGGACTTTGGTTTAGAACCCAGTGTTGGGATACCTTGATGGCCTAAGGTTTTAAGGTTCAACCATTAACCACAACATCCATGGTTTGAATCCCACTAACTTTTGTTGGATGTCATTCTTCTTCTCTCTCTCATACCATTTCTAGTCCTCTCCCTCCAAGGCCCACGAGATGAAAAAATCCACACCAGACCCCGACACTGACTACTAGGCCCTCCCGGGTACAAGGTGCTTGCCTGTAAGGTCCCCTCCCAGGCCTGGTTCAAGAAACTGTACCGAGTTTCTTTGATCTGGCCCAATCACCCCTCCTCCAAGAAATGATGTAGATCTGCCAATCACGTTTCTAATCTCTATAAACAGATTCTACATATGTATGCAGAATCTGTAGGTGATGGGACAAAGTTTTAGTATCGGAAATGCACTGGTTTCTGTTTGTAGCCCGTTTGTAGCCCGAGGAGTATTTACCAATAATGTCTGAACTCTAGGTAACAGTGTATGTGGAGAGGCAGACTGCAATGACCAAAATGCAATCTCAGAACCCATCAGCTATCATCTGACCATGAGTTAGCTTTGTATTAGCCTTTTTTTTTCATTATTATCTGCCTTCATATGTAGATATCCGTTTATGGAGATTAGCAGAAATGATTGGCATAAGGAAGACAAAGCCTTGGATCAGTCGTCCTGTGGCTACAACAGATCAGCTAAAATTTTGGCCCTTTCCCCCAGAGGCTTTATCGCCATCAGATGATAGCCGATAGGTTCTGAGATTCGTCAAACCCCACCAGAAGAATAGCTCCCACAATCATGGGGGGCACAAACTCCTACTTTTTTGCCAATGGTAAAAAATCGTTTAATTCAAAAATCTTTCAAATCAATTTACCATTTAAACTGCAAATTATTCTGCATATGCTTGTATGCAATTTAAAAAAAAATGCATTATCATTTCAATCAGATACAATAAAGCTTTGAAGCTGGGAAGGAGAGTTGGGATTAGGTTGATGGTTACATGTCTTTGGGATCATTTGGTTCTCCCTATTTTCTTTTTAAAACAACAAATTGCTAATATTTTTTGAGGACTGTTTACAGTTAGGTCAAAGCAGCCAAGGTAATGTAGTAGAGAGAAAATTGAACCAAAAAGGCACGAGGATTGATGGCAGGTGCTCTAAAAACAACTTCACCACGATAACTGGACGCTGATAATAAAAGAATAACAAGCGGGCTCTGTTGTTTTGGACTATCAGATTGACACAAGACAGACAAAAGGGAACAAATGATTCACTTCCTGCAAACAACCTTAGTGGGGATCAGTCTCCGAGGTGACTGCGATGACAACATTGCTAGTCTGTTTGTGTTGAAGTGTGGTGGTGGCCCTTGTTTATTCTAAGAGCAGGATGAATTCTATCAGCCAAAGGTTCTGGAGCTTCTCTACCTCCATCTGTCCTACAGTAAAGGACGATTTAGTAAGTCAGTAATACTCAAACTAAAGTCCTCACGTGTGCCCTGCATGTTATGAGTATGTACTTATGAGAGAAACATTTGGAAAAACCACAAAGATGGAGCCTGCACATCCTGAAAGGTAATGTTTTTGTTGACCAAAGAAAACTTGTAGTATTACAAAATAACTGGTTTCAGATTTTATAATAGCCCTATAAGCTCGACAATGAACAGGCCATAGAAAACCACTGTGGTACAGCATTTCTTTTTAGGAAAAACAGATGGCCTCATTTAGTGGTACTTCTCTATGGTTGGAACAGTCAGATAAGCGAAACATCAGTTGAATGTCAATTCAAAATGTGAAATACGCATGCAAAATTGTAGACTTGGTTGCAGATGAAAAGTGTTTGATTTTGAGCACTGAAAATGTTTTCCATGCATTTCGGAGGTTCTGCTTGATAAATGATTCTCAGTGTGCCTAATGACAACCACTCTATGTGCCATGTGAAAATGGGTGACATCAGGCTCTGGAAACATGATTTTGTGCTTCAGTACCTGCCTTTCTCGATGCAGACTTCTGCCAGCATTATCCTGTTTCTGGATAAGGCCACCACTGCAGAGCCGTGTCCCGAAGCTGGTCTCATAAAAACCAGCTCTGCACGCAGCACAATTGAGCCCTGCCCACCAATCAAGACTAATTAAGTGCAAACCAACAACAGAAATTTCAAAGGGCAATTTACCTAAATTGGAGGAATTATTTCCAATGCCTGTGTTCTCCACAAACTAAAAAAAGCTCAAATTTACTTTTAACAACAAGCAGAAACCAAAGCAGAGCTTTTGTGTGGTCGCACTGAGTAACTTTATTGAGATAGAAAATTAAGAGAACTGCTAAAATAAAATGGGTGGTAATTCAACACAGGCACAGCCATGACAAATACAGGAACAGATGTGAAGGCACCAAAGGTTACTACTTTGTACTCTCAGTACGTCATATATAGTACAATGTATTTGTTTGCTCAAAAGATACCACATATTAAAGTAATGCATGTTTTTGATTCATTTTGAATCCCATTAAACTGTACTACTCTGTCAGGTTTCAATATTAGCTAATCACCAGCTACTGTGGGTGGCATCAGAAGGCCTATCACAGCACCACTGTTGGCTCGATGGAGCACACAGCATCCCTGTTTTTTCTTTGAATAAATAGATCATTTTGGGATACACACATACTTGCTTTCTTGCTGATACTTCGAGAAGTTGGGTAAGCTTGGTATTTGGATTTTGGCACCTTCGGACTTAGCCTGGCAAGTTGTTTCCCCTCTGTTTCCAGTCTTTATGCTAAGCTAAGTTAAACAGCTGGTGACTTAAGCCTTGTATTTAATAGAATAATATGGGAATAGTGTTAATCCTCTAATCTGTCTCTAGACAAAAACGTAAATGTGCATATTTCCTAAACAGTAAAACTACTTTGTTAAACCCTTGCATGGTCAAAACTTGTCAGTCCATTTTTGTGATTATTTCAGAAGACTGTACACAAGAGGTCCAACAAAAAGGAAAAAACAAGCAATGCTTTGGGTCGGCGATGTTTATTCAGCAAACTGTGTGAAGGCCCAGCTGAATATTGTATGAGCACATGGTTCAAAATGTATGGCAAAGCTTGCACATGGACATTAAAATGGCACCTAAAGGGCAAGGAGAAAATGAGAGGGGTCTCTGCATCGTCCATCACAGAGGGATGCGCAGTCAGATGTGAGATCATTGCCTCTGACTGAGAAAGGGTGGAAAATGCGTCATCACAGGCCAGACATCAAAGAGCCCCCGTCCATAGGGGTTAACATCCAAAAGAGGTTAGCAGAGGTTATAAAAACACATCTATAAACACAGGCCCCACCAATGAGCCATACTGTCAGTTATTACTGGCACTCTGTTGTCGTAATAAACTAACATTAGGTAAGAACACGGCATGTAGAGGCACCACATGCGCGAGAACATTCACAGGGGGAGACACCCCAGAGGTGTGAGAAAAACGAGCATGTCAACATTAACTTTTATTAGCTGATGGAAAAACGAGACTAATGGTCGTACTGAAGCTTGACAGAAAGGAGAAATTTGTTGAACTTCAAAGGTGATGGAGGCACAGCGAGGTGCTGGTTTCCCTTAGTTTTCAATTAAAACAAACAGGCAACAGAGGGACACATAACCTAATGAGTGTTAAACAAAGACTTTAACTGCTGAGCTTTAAAGTAATAAAAGTATATTTTATTTATAGAGTGTTTTTCAAGATACACAAACACACTTCACATAACAAGATAAAAAAAACATCACTAAAGGCAAAAAGCAGCTTGAGACATTAAATCAAAAAGGTTGTTTGTCCACAAAAAGCTTGACACTGTCATTTCTTGGTAGTACTTAGCTTTCCATTATATAACATGATCATCTACAGGTGAGTTTGTACAGTTGAATGTAAATATGTAAATGCGCAAAGTTTTTCCAAACACTCTCAGGGATTCTCGGCCATGTTGTCATCAAATTGAGTTTCACAGTGCACTGCACGTTATTGATCTTGGAAACATGACTTGAGAAAACAAAGTCACCTCAACCATTCATTAGGTTTATCACATGATCATTACTAACAGATGGAGTCTGAAAAGATGACCGAAAGCTGCAGAACAGGTAATAACTGGACCTCAAGATACGGATTATAGAGATCATTAAATCATTAGGCAGGACAGTTTCTAGTTTCTGAGATAATGAATGGACTTTCAAAGGCAAACTATGCAGAACTCACACAAAATAATCCCTCTCAATGTCACTTGTGACCCACTAGCAGTGTGTGGCGGTGTCTGTACTTGCAGAGAACAGGCCTTCTGCCTGCATTTTCTTATTTTATTCTTATTTTGGTTTGTTCAGAACATTTCCGGGTGTCAACCTTTGGGTAGTCGTATGTAGCCAGTGCAATGTCAGGGGACTATAAAAACACATCAATCTCTCTTCTGTTCTGTGGATTCGAGCTGCAGGTTTGTGTGTTTGATTGAGGGCAAGGTTGAGCCGCACATACAAGAATGGCCTTTAGCTGAATTCACACAAAATCCAGAAACGCAGCACCTTCCTGCAGTGTTATGCAGGGGTGTGGGTTTGTTTATTTGTGATTTAAAACGTAACTGCTGTGAAACAATCAGAAAATAATGTTTTATTCCCCTGATTCACTGATTTGTTCCGCTGCTTTCTCAGTCTCGCCGAGTCAGAGTGGCGAAGTTTAAATGTTGTGTTTACAAACAGCAATCGACAAACCCTGCATAGTATGCCTTTAAATTTTACTGATAAATACAGATGACAATACCGACAAACTATGTTTTTGTCTACTTTGGTCTAGTGTTGGTATCCAGCACAGATAAGCAGCACTATGACACAAAAAACCCAGAAACATTTCCAAAGAAAAAGTCTTTATTTATTTATTTATTTTTTTTTTAAAAAGCATACTTCAAGACTGATTAAATAAACCTAAATTTTGAAAATTAATATTGAAATTGAAATGATTCCATGTATATACAACAATAAAGTGGCACCAGCCATTGTTCATTTCCTAAAACTGTTAAAAACTGAAAACACAGTTAGATAGCATTGGTCAACTGTATACTGATACTAGATTGATGACTTCCTGTCAGATATGTTTGCCTTCTCATTAATTTCACCCTGAACATCTGTGCATTATCATTTCTGTCCACAGCTGTCAGCAGCATGAGCTGACTCATTTTCATCCTGACAGTGATGGGTATGAACAGGGCCTGGCTCTTTCACAGCATCCTCCTTAGTCATGTTGACCTCAGCACTCTTCTCTGACAGCTCATTGTCATCAGGTGAAGCAGAAATGTTCTCATTTATGCACCGATTCCTGCTGCTGTCACTGTGTTTATTAATACCATCATCCACATTAACCCCCACACTGTCTGCTGCTTTGTCTTTAATCACCCCCCCTGTCATTAGCTGGGCTTTTGGCACCATCACAGCTCTTACTACATGGGGTACTGTCTTCAGCATTTCCTTCCTGCTCCTCCTCTTCGTCACTACTGTCTATGATCTCTCCCTCCTCTACCTCTTCCTTCCCTCCTTCTCTCTTGGCCCTTTTCATTTGTGGGGGTGCAGTTTCAGGGCTGGTCTCTGGGGTTCCTGTCCAGATGTTGGTTCCCCGCGGGGTGCGAGCTCCTTGTAGGGATGGTGAAACTTGGATCACATCCTGCTTCTCTTGTTCCACCTCTTCTTTCTGGGTTGCAAAACCACTGCAGGCTGATGCAGGTTGAGCTGAAACAATATTCCCCCGTTTATGTATAAAACAGGATGATTAGACACAGCTCTCCCAACAGTAAATTTCTTACATGTTCAAACGTATACACAAGTGATCAGAGCAGCCAGTTGCACAAGGATGGTTAGAGCACGGCTGGGGTCATGCATAAATTGAAATGGTGAAATAGAGAGGGGAACACTACAGACAGTTTGGGAATGATGACGCTATAGTTTGGCTCCGTGCTTGTTTCCAGGATGAGGCAGCGTGCCAAGCAATTAGTTATGCAATAAAGTAGGGTGGACATGTGTGAAAGAAAGGCTGCAGAATAAATGACTGTAAGAACCATAATTGTGAATTATAAGCAATTACGCCTCAACATGATCTCCCCACAGCCTGCTGAATTATGAAACGCATGAACCCATTTTGTGTACACTTTTCCAACGCATTTTCGCCTGCATCCTAAGAAATGGTTATCCAGCTGAGCCTATAATATGAAAGATTAATGTAATTCAGCTTCTCTTCTTTGAGCTGTAAAAAGAGACACAATTAGAAAGCTATGCCTGCCTCACATTAACCATTTATTTTCGTCATGGACCATAACTTATAGAATTTAAAGGCTCCCTAATTTTGTGACCTTATAAAGTTGAGGTAAATTAACATACCGGTGTTTGGCACACATACTTTACTTGAGCAGCCCAGATATTAATGGCAACCCATTTTAGCATTTTTTTGTTTTATTATTATCATTAATTTAATCTGTCTAAGAGAACGCCAGCCACGATAAATTACTTAGTGGACTGAGCTGCATGCAGTGCATTGATTTACTCAGCCCCTCTTTGCCCCTCCTTCTCTCTCAAACACACTGACAATGGACCCGTCTATCTGTACACACTCTGAAGTTCAAGTTAACTCTGAGAAGTTAGTCTACCTATGTTCTTAACTAGGGGTGTCAACAGATAACTGTTAATCATAATATTGTTAACTGGTTCTGCTTACTGGTCTAAAGGTTAATTTTGCTACTCTTCAGGTTACTGCACTGTCCACCATTCACATTTGGTGGGAGACAGACAGCTGGCTAGCCGTGTCAAATGCTTAAACATAGTGCCCACTGCCCACCCTCTGGTCTCCAATGTTTAGCTTGGCTGCTCTGCACTGCACACCAGCTGGGTTGGGCGGTAGCTAGCTAGCATTGCTGCCCATTTGGCGAATACTACTAGTAACAGCATCCTAACACAGCAGCACTGCTGTGAAAACATTGTGCCCACCCTCCACTCTCCAACCAGGTCACTCCAGTGAGTAAGTGGCTAAATTTTGAGCCGCAGACTACCTTTAGCATTGTTAACTATGTTATCACTGTTAACTCTGTTAGCACTGTTAGCTGTGTCAGCATGGCAAGAAGTGCTTAAATAGTTAACAATGCTAAAGGGGTTTTGCGGCTCAAAATTAAGCCGCTTATTCACCAGGGCTATCTGGGGGAGAGACCCACTACCTGGATGGTCCTAGCAGCAGTAATCAGGAATGAGCTGCACCACAAGCTAACTACCAAAGGGCCTGGCTGGTGCGCATTTCAGAGTGGCTAACCAGCCTTAAGCCTTAAGCCTTAGCTAACCAGTAGGGGCCGAAGGGTGGGGAGTGGGCCCTGTGTTTCTGCCTGGTAACACTGCTAGCTGGCTGTCTGACAACAACGCCAATAGAAAATAAAAAGCAAGACATTTACATCCCAAAACAATAGAGTTTCAACACCTCTACATGGACAGCACTTTGAAACGTGGTGCTGAAGCTCACACTGAGTCAGTGACTGACAGAAAAGGCCTCTTGTATTTCATGTAATTTCATGTGTTTTTTTTCCCTTGGAAATTAACCAGTTAGTTACTAATTAATGGGTGTTGGGCTATCGAAAGTTAAATTAACTGACATGCCTACACTTAACACAACACTATAAAAGCAGTACCCTGTATTCACCTGCTAGCACACTGGAGACCTGTCAGTAAATCTTTACGTTACTTTTGTAACCCAGGCTCTATAAGACTCTGCATCCCATATTCATGAAAGTACTTACTCCATCACAACACCCATGTGACTGGCAGTTGTGATGTATCCAACTTTATATATGGTCAACACTGTGTCACTTGTTATTCTAATACCTTTTTTTGCTTCAGAAGCCATGCTGTAGCTTAATTGTCCTTTGAAAGCTTTGCTAACTAGCTAGAATAGGCTGGTTTGGCTATACCTAACAAACTAACAGTGAGAGGTGCCTGAGGTTGCCTCACTGATAACACTTTGAGGGGCACGTCCCATAGAGAGAGACTGTATAGAGTGCTGTGACAGAGAACTCTGAGTAATTGTGTTTTGATTTGGGTTACTGGGGCTAAAGATTTGTTTACATTTTGTTCACTTATTACCTAACCCCCTTTTCCCTCTGCAGAACACCTACAAAATGGTACTTTCATTTGGAATAGTGACATTAAAAAGGTCATTTAATAATCTGACCCAAACAAAAAAATACAATAAAAATGCTGGCTCTGGGTCAATAAGGCCACAAAGAAAGACTCTCCTTTGACTGGCTGAATGTGGTTCAGAACAAAACACTGACTGGCTGCATGGTTGGAGCCTGCTGGACCCTCCTGGACCCTCAACATCACTTTATCCTTACTGGATGTGCTGCTGCACAGTGTCCGATTGCCCTTTATCACTTCCTGCCCAGCTTCCAAAGCCATGGCATTTGCAATTATCAGGATGTTTCTATGGCTAACATTATAACATTATAGCTAAACAGTGTGATACCAGAGGCCTTATCACTGAAAACACACACACTGGGACTCAGGCTAAAATTACCTCATTCGTCATTCAGCCCGTCTGATCTGACAGCATAATGATACTGGGTTAGTGTGGTCTTTTGTGACCATACTAACCCTACTGAGATAAACACAGTTTGACCACACAGTGCACATCTGAGCAAGAGCAAACCGCTGTATGCTTTTTCATGATATGCAGTCATACTTTGTCACGACTCTTGTTGGCCTTAAACATCCGCCACTGGGAGTAGACTGACAAACAGGTGAGAAAAGCCACACAGGCTTGATCTCCTGTTTTCTCATCTTCTGTCATTTCACAACTCCTGAGGTCACTGTTTAACAGTAAGCCATGTTTGATCCTCTTTCTGGCCACAGACACTGTTGAGGTTAGGTTGGTGTGTGTGATGCTGTGCAGAACACCCTCATTTCCGTTGGGGTAGCATGTTGCCATAGTGAAAAATAAGGGAGCAGGGAGTCTCAAAGTCTCAGCTGGAGAAACCAGGACATGATACAATGCGGCTGGAATTGGGGAAGTGGAGAGAGGTTGGTGTTTTGGGGCTACGTGGGGTTTTGACTCATGTCATATGTCCACCCTTTTGTTTAGTTACAGTAAACATGGGTAAATAAAGAGACATGAGGCTGAAAATGGTGGGTGAAGAAATATTTTTTTCAAAGCAATAGAATGAGAGTAGAATGGACATTGAACTGTTTGCCGTGGCCATTTTACTAGTACAAAAGAAAATGGCGATTGTTGTTAGTTGTTACTGTGACATCACCCAACAGTGGGGTCATAAAGTGTGTCACACTCACTGGTTTGAGAACTCTGTTTTGGCCTATTCTTATACTTGTTTTCCAGCAACAAAAGAAACATAACAGTTGCTTATTCGAAAACGTACTACTCCACTGCTTGTTTGGTCATTACTGCTAAACCTCACCTCAGTGAGTCTGTCAGTTACTGCAAGTCAGTATACATGGAAATTAGCCCAGTTGCAATGGCAACAGTACACATAATAATGGCTGCTGCTCTGACCATACTGCTACCTTGATATGTATGGGAATGTCAGCTCTACTCTCATTCCATTTTTATGATTTTTTTTTTCTCTGCTGATAAGCATTCGCGTGTTAGTATTGATACAGGCATTAGCTTAAAGCCATGACAGTTAAAGCTAAATAAGGGTGTTTTTTTTTTTTTTACCTGGTCCTTTCGGTGGATACTCCTTCCAATGATCTCTGAGTACAACATGCAGCACAGGATATTCAATCAGCGTTTTGTAGCTGAGATTGTCCCTTAAGGTCTTGCAGATGTCCAACTCATGGTACCTATTTCAGATCAAATTAAGGCACAAAAACACAAAGGCATGATTACAAGGCAACTCAGTTACAGCATGCTGGGTAAATTATGTGACATTAGGCTCACTGTAGGTAATTTCATGTTTGCTAAGTAGTAACAAACACAGAGCAAAGATGGCCACTGTTGTTGAAACTCTTTAACTGGCAACTGTAGCTCTTTATATCCAGCCGCCTGTGGCACGCTGACGGCTGAGGATCTTTAGGGGATTGATAGAGATTTGAGTCATGGCTTGGCACACTGAGGCACACCTGCTTGGTGTTCATCTCAAGAGATGGAAACTGACTTTACCAAGAATCAACAACAGCTCTCAAATGAAGAGGGTCTCTTTCCCCTCCTTTAGCTCTGTGTGCGATGACATCAGTCTAGTCTTGTCTCTAAGTAGTCCTGTCATGCATTAGGGATGGTCATAAATCACTGGACTAAATAGTTAACTGGATTCTTGGGAGACATGGCTTGCCTCTGCACTCAACCGATTCAGAACCATCCAGCTTAGGCTGTCATCACCAAAATACGAGGCATCATATATTATGGATATATACAGTAACTGGCACCATCTCCACCAACTGTCAGACTCATGCCAGACTGAGGATTGTTGCCATTGTTTGTTTTGCTAAAAGCACAAGCAGACTGAGAGCCGCCCAGGTAGACACCCTCTCCCAAAGCCAATCAAAGCACTCTACTATAATGTGACATTTACAGGTCTTTACTGATGGGCCAGCTTCCAAGAAACACTCCCTCCTGGAAGAGTTTCTCTTTGGAGGGCTAAAGATCATTTCACACAATCCCACAAATAAACAGCAAAATGTGTTGGCACTTTGTGCAGGACGGGATAAAGGAAAGAAGAGATAGCCTGTGGGTCTCAAAACAGGATTTTCTTGCTGCAAAGGTTGCAGGGTATTTCTGGCACATCTCCACTTCAGAGAAGTAGAAATAGCGTGTGTAAAGATGGATTCTAGGGTAGAAAAAAAAGGTACCAACACTGGGGTCAAAGGTTAGGCATTGAAACCAGTCTGAGAAGCTGGTATGTGGAAAGTAACTCAACAAAGCAGGGCTGCATCCATTTGCAATGTGCATACCAGACTAATACTGTTTCCATTTCATTTGTTTTTATGTCTAACTTGTAATAAATTAATGTTCCCGGATGTTTTTTATTTCTGTGGATACACAAACTAAACGAAAACATAAGTGTTTGTAAACAACACTGAAATAGGAGTAGATGGCAAAGCAGATTGCGGCTCCCTGTGGTGTCGATGCGATTGTTAAAAGTTCTGGCCATTTCTAGAAACACGGCTGGATGGCTCAGCCAAGAACACGCAGACATCTGGTCTCTATATAGTGTTCTAGTGAATGAACAGAACAGAGGGCAACACTGATGTTCTGTTCACGGAGGTTCTTATTGTTTTCCCCTCCACCGCTGAGACCCATTAGCACGGATATTAGATTGGCGAGGTGTACGGAAAGAAACTTCAAATATTTTGATTTTAAATAGACATCATTTTGATAACAATACTAATGCTGAAAACTGGGATTAAGCTTGTGCAAAAAATAAATGACCGTGGCAGCCTGCTAGTTGATACCATCAATGTTTTGGGAAACTGACTCTTGTTTGGGTTCATGTTGTTTTTGGATGCTCTTCCAGGCTTCCAGGATTGCGTGGTAATGTTTTTAGGTCAGCCTTTTTTTGTTATTGTTGTTGCCAATACTATGTCCTCAGTGCTCCTTATGCAATGACAGACTACGGCCTCATTTAAACACTCTGTGAATGCATATCTCAGACCTTCCCAAGGTGCATATAGTGCGTACGCCAGTGTGCACAGTTTGGACAACAAAACAGTGAAATAGAGCAAAATGTTCCAATGACATTGCAAGCCATTATGAGCGCCAACAATGTGACTGTTGCTTTGATCAAAAAGTCATCAACACTATCCATAGCAAAGACCTTTTTGAATATATTGTAGGCACATGCTTATGCATTTTGCACACACCTTTGTGCCTTTGGATTGATGATGATATATTTCATGTGTACAAATGAGCACACCACAAGGCCTCTAAGGAGAAACCGTGCGAGGCATTATCCCTATTTGACAGATTAGCGCTTTTGACGTCACTATGACGGCATATTTTTCGCCTTGCCTTTGAGTGTAGGCATTCAGAACCCATATACAAACTCTTCCCTTCAGACTTGGTGTGAAGACAAAATGATTGTACCAGTTAGTTTCAAGCATATCACAGCCTGTAATACTGAAGTACAGCAGAGGCAGATGGGAAAGTCAATAAATAAGGATGAGCAACAGGTATAAGTATCACCACAATCCAACTCAGAAACTCAACTATTACGCAATATAATCTGCTTGCTATTTTAGTAACAATACCCCAAACCAAGCCAGCATTGCAGGAGACCTGAGGAAGCATCTGCAGCACAGAAACAAACTTGAACATCGCTTTAGGGCAAACTGAGGGAGAGCAGACCAACAGGCTCAGGAGGGCTAAGGAGAGGGTTTGCCACAAATATGTGAGAGAAAACACTACTTGGACAGGACAGTAACATCACTGTTGGGTCCACAACAGTGGTTTAGAAAAAAACTGAATGCAAACACAGAGGTTTCCTTTCTTGGCTGCATATGTAAAAACAGCATCTCTACTTCTGGCACATCAACAGGCTAGCTGAGAGGAAAAGAAGAGGTAAGGGAAAGAAGGAAAGCCCATCCTCTTGATCTAAGGAACGGGATGAATAAAAAAATAAACATGAAAAAAATAACACAAACAAACATCCAGACGGGTGTGAATGGTTCCCTTGATGCATCGTCTGTCTCCTTTCCAGTAAGAGAATGTTGACTGGTTACACAGCTATGTTTAGTTTAGCACAAGAGCTCCTTTATTGGAGTGGGCTGATATTCCAGTACACATTCAACAACAAAAACATGCAGTCATAGCCTTTGTGTTAGACTTGGCAAACGACCTCTAGGTAGCCATGACTACTGCTGTCCATTACTTCATAACACTAATAATAAGTTTCAAAATTAGGGGCTTTCTTCTAAGACTGTATTATCAAAAATGTGGAGGCCACTTTGTGGTTGCAATGCTATTATGTTCTTCGGGACCCCTAAAATGGGATGTGACCTCTGTCTGTAGGGGCCTCTGTTACTATTAGAGCTCCTGTATGTGGCTATGGTCCTGTTATGTAAGATAATTCCCCCCTGGACAAGCATCCTAACTGTGCCCTAATTCCATTCATCTATCCTCAATATAATGTCGACAATAAACACTTACTATGAACTGAATTCAGACCTAACTGTCCTTCATTATAAAACCCCATATTCTGAGCTATGCAGGAATGACAAGGGTTACTGAGAGAGAAAGTGGGATAGTTAGAGGGAGATTTATGCCACTGTGTTACTCAATATTCCAGACTTGACAAGACACAGTCAAAACATTCTTTCTCCACAGTCTGACAGACGACGGTAACCATGTCGGGCTAATAGCCGTTGGGAGTCATTAATAAAATAGCTCTCCGGAAACTGGCAACATTGTTACATGGATGATGACAAACGTCATGACTCATTTATTAAAAGTTTCTCCGGAAATGTCTCTACCTTGACGTGACTTTTTTATGTGATACTACCAATCACTCTCACAATGAGTGGCTGAAAAGAGCACATGAGGCGGCTACTGTGAATTTGGAGAGATGCCAGTCTTAAGGCAAAGGCTGATTTCGTGGTCCTATTTTAAAACAGGATTTCGACAGCCCTTGTCCCAGTGGACAAAATGTTTTGATTTTATTTAAAAAAAACCTGTGCTTGTTTGTTTACAAGACACATGCCTTCATCACTCCACACTGCTTCTCCTCACGATGGCTAGAAGTCAGTAAAAACTTGTACTGTTTGTGCAGTTGATTTGCAAAACAGCTTGTTTATGTTATAAAAATGAAATATAATTTCTCGTGGAAGCACGATGGCAGATGCCGATTGCATGTTTGTCATCCTGGGGGGAGAGAACATGATGATTCCAGTCTAGGATGACAATAAAAACATTTCCTGTGTAGGTAAATACACGTGACCTTGCATTAGCCTACTGGTAAATCGACTCAGTCTTTCTATTTTGATGCTATTTTGAAACAACTTCAAAAATTCTAATTGCGCTCTACATCCTTATAATAGGTTTAAAATGAAAAGGTGGTCTTAGAGCTGTGATTTGCTTTGGGATGAAAGAAACTTCGGTATACTCCTAATGAAGGTGCAGCACTGTGCAACTTCTTCCTGTAACACAGCAGGCAATGATTGTCACAAGAAGGGTATCACTAAGCTTCCTTTTATTACACTATAGTATGCATTACACGTGTTATTTAGCACTGGGTTGCTCCCACGAGCACTGAGACATGTGCACAAATCATAAAACATCTGCAGAGTTGTGTCCTGTTACTCACACAGGCACGCATATGTACCATAGCTGCCGCAGCGGGGTAACTCTTCACGTGTGTGAGAATGTGGATAAATCCGCGGGTTTATCAGGCTTTCACAACCCCTGCGCTGTGGCTCAGACTTATGTAACATATGTTTAGCATCTACCCTTTTTGAGGAGAAATGTTGCCTATTCGGCACACCCAAATGGAAAATATTATTACAGAAAAACTGTAAGGCCAAAATGCATGTATGAGACTTCATTTGAAAAGCAACATGTTCTTGTTTCTAAAAATTGTGCTTGTTTTTCATGTAGCTAAAGGACAACCTGACCTACATCAGTTCAAACTTGGCTTTAAAGTCTTTTTTTCTCCCTTGTCTATGATAACTCATTTCTGAATAGTAATAACTAGGACATGCTTTATGCCAGACTACACAAATCAGCTTTTATACCTTCTACGGCTTGTCAACCACACTGGAATACAGTTCCAGACCATCAGGCCAAATCTTATGGGAGCTGTGGAGTATTTAATTTGTGACGTCACTAGTGTCCCTGAACCTCTCTAAACATCTTAAAGGGCCATATTGTGCCAATTACTTTGACTCACCTCTGTAACACTGGAAAACATACTGAGACATATTGAAGTCTATTGATGACAATTCTCATTCAGTTATTTTCCCTAACTGCTTATCCTGTTAGGGGTCACAGGTGGGCTGGAGCCTATCCCAGCTGACATTGAGCGAGAGGTGAGGTACACCCTGGACAGGTCACCAGACTATCACAGGGCTGACACATAGAGACAAACAACCATTCATGTCCACACATGTTGGGGTCACCAATTAACCTAACCTGCATGTCTTTGGACTGTGGGAGGAAGTGCAGTACCTCGAGAAAACCCACTCTGACATGGGGAGAACATGCAACCTCCACACAGAGGGGCTCCCCCACCCAGGAACCCTCTTGCTGTGAGGTGACAATACTAACCTCTGCACCACCATGCAGCCTCATTGATGGCCGCCCTTGTTGGTGGTACAAAGTCCCTCCAACAAGCAGGGGCTCCACACTGTGGCATGTTGATATAGCTCCGTTCCAATGCAACCCAACTGCGCCTTATACCGCTTGAAAAGGAAACTGATTGGCTACAATTGTTCATGACGACTTATTAATAGCCACTAACAGCCTGTTCTGCAATGGCCAAAAGACACGACGGAGCCCAGTGGCGTTCCAGACTGGCGGTGACATGGGTGAACTCAGGAAACAGGGAAACTTGAGGTAACTATGAAAACAAGCATACCAACAACAGGGTGCAGGAAGACGAGAAAGCATTATTTCTGTCGGTAGTAATGCAGTTTTTGTTTGAAAGACATAGTAAGCAGACTGTGAGCAATGGACTTCACAAGACAATGTTCCTATTTTGGATTAATTTTATGAAAACTGTTTTGATCGGTGGACCCTTACGGACTAAAATAATCGATTACCATGCTAGTAAATCTGACTGAATTATACTTTGGTGCTCATGGTTTCCGTAAAATTAAATTACAATAAAATTTTGGAGAATCTAACAATCTTACCATACAGTATGTAGCACGTCCATATTGAAAAGTTTTAACATTTATATTTGGATGCGCGATGGTAAGCCATTTAGAAACAGCTTTAGCTGGTCACTGACTGGCAGGTGGGTGCAAAAAGGATAAGGTGGAGCAAAGATGTGCCTTGTTTGCGTGTGGTGTGCAAGAATGTCTGCATCCATAAATGTGAAGCTAATACCATACAAGCAGAATTTAAACATGGACAAAGTGCAACTATGGCAGGATGCAGGCACTTATCAATCACAGAATTTTTTAAAACTCACAGCCTGGTAATGCCTATAGCCATGGTGGTGGCTACTTAGTAACTTGATATCATAAATAATACTTTTACGTATGTGCATGATTAGGGCTCATTTGTTTTATGTAGGACTGTCCTGATTTGAAACATAAATCAGCAAATGTATTGATTTTCTCCTGATTTTAATTTCCACTATATATTAGCAAAAGCATATTCTGAGCTGTCTTCACAATCTAGTTAAGGTTAGCTTGTCCTTTTTAAGAATCCTGTGTGTTCTGGGTGACAATCTAAAAAGCTTTCTAGCCTAATATGCCTTTTATATTATTAACCTGTGATTATGCAGCATTATAAACTACTTTGTAGTGACGGTCATTATGAAGGTGACACTGTGCGGTATCAGAGATAATGACACATTTAAAAGTGCTCAAAATTTCATTAAATCCATGTAAGGGCAAAAGGTGGCAGCCTGACAACTCATACTAAATCTTAGCTCGCGTGTCACATCTCAGCACTCGTCTGTCAGTAAAACCTTTCTATATGCTGCCATAAAATATAATTTATCTGCTTAGAAGGTGTGTGCAGCCCAGCCCACTGGGCAAAACAAAAGGAGCATGTGTATGTTACAAGGAGGAGGGATGGGAGGGGAGGTTTCGTGACGTTTCATGCTGGCCAGGGGGGTAATGATTATGATCATCATTCACTCCATGACTAAGAGGAAATGGAGGACAGCCAAAGAATCCGAAAGTAGGCGAGGCAAATGGGTGTTATCAACACCATCCCCTGACCCCCATTAAAAAAAGACAGATGGGGCAGGAAGAGAGAGCACACAGGACAAAAAACTGTGAACACAGAAAGTGAAGTGAGAGAGATTAAAGGAAAGCAATGATGGGAGATTTAGATAAAAGTAGTTTCTAGATCAATGACATTTCTCAATGTTGGAATCAAAGTCAAAAGGGGAGGAGAAAAACATCCTAAGGCCTCCCTGCCAAGAGTCTGTGTAGCTTTGCAGGAATTTACGAGTCAGTGATGTCATGTTCATAAACAAATTATTTTGATTTTAACACGCTGAATAAATCAGTCATGACTGGCAAGTCCAATTGAACGGTCAGCACGGTCACACAGACCAGATGCCTGAGTAATGACAGGATTCTGACACACCATTTTATTTTACACTCAAAACTCAGCCACACATCTGAAATGAATATTAACTCTGTATCTTATCTATAAAGTATGTCTTTGTCTGTAATAAGTTTTCATTTTCCTACTTTTCATTTATCTGCTGCATTACCTCCACTTGTTTGGTTGTATGCATTTTTTGTTGGCATTTCTATAGCTGCATTGCAACAATATTCTTAAACTGTGTGAGCTAAAGCCTGACATATGTGACCATACATCCATCCGCTTATCCGAGGCCGGATCGCAGGGACAGCAGGCCAAGCAAAGCACCCCAGACGTCGCTCTCCCCAGGAATGCTTTCCAACTCTTACTGGGGGACCCCAAGGTGTTCCCAGGCCAGATGAGATATGTAATCCCTCCAGTGTGTTCTGGAGGGATTGCGACATGGGCCTCCTACCAGTGGGACATTCTTGAAACACCTCCAGTGGGAGGCGCCCACGAGGCATCCTGATCAGATGCCCAAACAACCTAAACTGACCCCTATCGATGCGAAGAAGCAGCAGATCTACTCTGACTTCCCTCTGGATATCCAAGCTTCTAACCCTATCTCTAAGGCTTCCAGAGATGCAATTCTGAGGTCCCCCGGATCCCCGGGGGACAAATAAATCTTAGTCACAATTCTTTAATAACCAAATAAATTCATGGGATTCTTGTAAAAGTGTATCATGTTGAAAAACAAATATTGGCTGATATATCACATTATTTAAAATTCTACATTATCAACATTCGACTCAAAAGTACGTACCAGTCAAGCTGCAGTGTGTAGGGTTGGATACTGAACTCGGTACTTTTAAGGATACCAACCAAGTTATGTCGGTACTACTGAATACTAATTTATGTAAAATCCATTGGTGCGAAATTTCGGTATCTGAGAGCGCATCTGGTGGAGAGCACCAGGTGTAAACAAGAGGTGCAACTGCCACGAAGCACCCCAAACCCTCAAAGCACAACCACAGTGCTCCGAGGCTGGCAACGGATCTCCACTGAGCCACTGGGTTCAACTTCAGACAGAAGACGGAAGCACCCCAAAGTTAGGAAACCAGCCATGGAACGCCGCTATTACTCTGTCGGCTTCCCAGCGAGCCAAAACTGTCTCTGCAGCATCAGTCTGTCATAATAGTCTTGATGCCTGGTCTATTGTTTTTTTTTAGTTATAGCCTAGCATCACTGCCAAATGAACAGACACACATACTAAAATACACACACACAAAAAAGCAGACAGCCACTGAAGAATAACTGTATGATTAGAAAAGAGCAGAAGAGGAGCAGAATTGCTTTTGAGTCCCTGCAGTTTGTTAAAAAATTACATTTTTGTTATTAAAAAGAAAATTAAGTACTGGAAAAAGGTACCGTTGGGTCCTGGTGCCAAATTACAAGTCCCGGTATTGATTCAAATGTGAACAGTAGATGGACAAGTGATATAAAACCCAGCAAGTGGCCTCGTCATTGGACTAGAAGGGGAGAATTTTATTTCAACAGTGTGAGGTTAGGCCATAAAGATTGAAAACATCCAACCTGTTCAGTCCTACCAAGATCCAGATTTCTTTTTTTTTGGCCCTGTACCCACAATTATATAAAGAGGGAGAGCAAACATATATTTCCCCTAAAGGAATCAAAGATGTATCAAATCACATAATAAGAAATGAGACAGGTGACAAGAGGAATCTCACCTCACAGAGTTTGCCTTTCTCCCCTCTGCTTTCATGAAGACTTTCACATGATCAAACGAAGCGTGAACATACATCTTCAACCTGAAACAGAAGTCACATTAACAAAGGGAGTTAGAGACTCAACCTGCAACCTAAAAAAAGAAAATAAAAAACACAGGAACGTGGACTGTGCATAATGTCCTAGGATGGTTACCATAAAGGTCGAAGCACAAGGAGCTCATTGAGCATAGAACAGGACAGACTCAAATGTACACTTGTCTGGTATGCTGACTGATATATCTGACTGAGGTTTCTTGTGTAAGGTATAATCCTCCGTGCAACTGACAGCCACGGCACCTGAGCCCACTGTAAACAGCCAGCCAATGAGCCGTGGAGAATTAAACCCCACTCATTTCAGTCTAGACGCAGAGGTTGTGTAGAAATGGTTGGCAATGGACCAAGTTAGGTGTCTATTATAACGAGTTACGTTGGTCTGTAATATGCTCCTGCTGTAGGTGTTACAGCAGACTGCCTCTGCTTACTGTTATCAGTTCAAAGGTTAGGTCAGAGGAGTCAGATCACTGTCCTTTTAGAGGTTCAGATTAGAAATACTAAGTTTTCTGCAATCAAAGAGCCTGCCTTGTTCACTACAGTTCATGTTGGGAGAAACACGATCCTAGGATTTGAAAACGAGAGGGAAGCAAGAGCAAAATTACAAAAGATAAAAGCAGGAAAGTACGATTGTGGGAATTAGACAGAACATGGGGAGACACCAGCCGAATCCCGTGTGACAGAAATTGGATTGAGTTGGTTGATATTAAAGATCAGTACATAAGATGACCTTTGAATAACAGTTATAATTCACAAACTGAATTTTCTCCTTAGTTTATCAAAAATAAACTGAACCTATTAAAAGCAGCCTATTCATCTGCTCAATGGAAAACCTTGACATTCAAGTTGAGCACATCTTTGTGTGGTGGCAAAGATCAGCAGAGTGTTTAATTCAGTCATACACACGCACAACCTACAGTTAATTTTAATTAGAGGTATAAAATATATTTAAAGTTTGTTGTAAAGAGGAGAAAAGAGGACTTCAAAATAAAATGCTGAACATAAATCTATAAGAGCAATATTAGCATCTTGATCCATTCCTTCTGATACAGGGCTCTTATACATGCAGACTGATTGGGCTGAGTCCCAAAGCGCACTGCTGCCAAACTCAATTACAGAAGATCTGGTCTGGTGTTCAGGCGACAGTGGACCTGACACAGGTCATCAAATCCAAAGCTGCAGTCATGGCTACATACAGCCTTTATTTTTAGATAACAATAGTGAGGATGGTAAGTAACTCTGAAATACAACAGGTTTTTGTATTTCTGTGTTTTAACAACTGGTTCATGTATCCAGCAGATCCAGCTGCATCTTGACAACACAGTTGTAGACAATACAAAAAGCTCATATGCTATGTAATATTCCCAGGACAATACGACGCAATGGCAAATGAATGCAACTGCCTCACACTGCTGTTGGGATTAGGGGTAGTGATTGATATTATGCTATGCTGCAATAGGGCAGATATTACCAAATCTGCATTTCAACAACAATTATTGAAAGCAATTCAATTAGCTTTGTTTTCCCCAGTCTCATTCCCAGTTGTTATGAAAATGAGAATCCAGTAACTAAACGCAGCTTCACATCTGTTGCCAATAGCAAAACTGCACATTTGAACTTTTCAAGAGAAAACAATAGGCTGAGCAGCAGTCATTATCCTTAAACTTAGAGGTCTTTCAGACTATATATCAAACCGGTGTTGACTTCTAGGTCTATTATCACATTGTTACATTTTCTCCTTCTATTCGTGAGTACAATGACTGTACCAAAACAACTTAGTAGTTGAATTTCTTCCACTAAATGCAGCACATTAATCTGAGGTTTCTGGCTTTGCTGAGGGATTCAGCGGGAACTGTAGTTGATGGCAATAAATGAACTGAATATTACCAAAACAGACATGGTGACAAACCTACATACTGTGCACTTTAAATAATGCCCTTGGATTTACTGCCAAGAATATGGACACATCTTTCACTTAAGCTATACAAGTTCCATATGGCCTGTAGCAAAGGCTCCAGCACACCTCTATGTAGCACTGTTCCCACATTCATCAACATGAATTGGCTGCTTGGCCACACTCTGCCATAAAACATGGACACAGTTGGACACTGTAGTAGTTTACAAATCGGGTGGGTAAATAATAACAACCACAACTGATGTACACAGCAGCTCACTGTTGTTATTAAGGTCTGTACCTGATCAAAACACCAGTAATCCTACAACTTCAATTCTATGTGTTAAATGTATTTGACATTAACATGATGATGTGTCTGTCTTGTGATGATGCAATTACATAAATCATCAAAGAGCGCAAGTATCAGATTGGTGCTTGGCTCATACTCTAAGCTTGAGTTTGCGTATTCGTATTGCTGATCGTACAATCACTACAAAACAATCACATGGAACTTAAGTGTTGATGGGACAAAGCTCACTTTTGACGTGTCACAGGGTCCGACTCTGTTGGATGGATATATGCGGTCAAGATCTGCTCCAAGGTTTGCTTGTCAGACACCCTAAAACAAGAAAGAGATTTTAAATGGAAAAAAAACAAATGTGGGAGAAAATATGTGAATATTAACACCCAAATCAAGTCAAACGTCATGGTCAAAATAGATAACAGGCCTCATGCAGCAACATTCTCTTAAATTTCTCTTATATTTTCTGTTGAGAGTAAAAATAAGAGCACTCAACTCCAGATCCCGCTTGATTGTAAGTCATATATTAGCATGGGTTACACACTCTAAACACTATGTACGGGTATGTGTTGTGCTGTGTGCATGGACTATAGTATATATATAAATCAGTGGGTACCAACAAAATATGAACAAAATGTGGATACGAATAAAAATAAGACAAAATTTGTTTGTATATCATTTCCTGCATGAGGCCTGAATTCTGTGTAGCTTTTACAATCCTGGACAAACACACAAAGATCATCAAGGTCACTCCTGATAAGTTGCAGACTGTACACCTACATGGTCTATCTAAAACAATGTTCATGACAACAACAAGCACTTCTTCAGAGTACTGAAACAGTCTCTATCACTTCTTTTTTGGTGGTTACATTATTCAGTACATTGAACATTGATGTGTAACTCACCTCTTCTGACTGAACTCTGTGCTGCTCTGGGGAAAGATGAGCTTCAGGTGCCAGAGGAACAGTTTTTCTCTAAATGAGACACAGAGAAACTCGTTTTTAGTTTAGCTTTTCAGAAACAGTAGTGCTTGATGCATGTTTTTTGCAGACAGATGAGGTCACTGGTGCTCTCACAGTATTCCCTTCACAGTCAAACACAAATGCCCTTGTTTAAATTCAGAGCATAAAATGGATTCAGCCTTAATCTGTCCAAGACAATACGCCTGGCTGCTTCCAAAATCTTGTCCATCTGTGTGACTCTGTGTGTGTGTGTGTGTGTAAATGAATAAACCAGAGTCACCATGGAGACCTTGACATATACACTGAATACTAGGACACCAGCTGGTGGATATCACATAATGATCACTTCTTCTGGGGTAATGCTCTGGGCAGCAACTATTAAACGTGGTTGGGGTTTTTTAGGGTTGCTGGGCGTGCTCTACAACCAAACATTTATCCCCTGAGCAGCTGCTGTGTTCATACCTACAAATATAACGATGTAGAAATAGCCAACAAAATCTAATATATCAGACAGTCTGGGAGATATGAAAAACAAGATGTGATTCTGCCTTTATTCTTTTACAGTATTGGATTAATTGCTAGTAATTTGGGATTCTGACTGCCTATACACTAATTTGGCAAATTAAAATAAATCTGACATTACAGAGAAAGATTCCTGCTATGCAGATAAAACCAAGACAACCATAAAAGTATAATTTTTGCTACCCTTGAGGAATAGGATACAGTTGACTGGCACAGGCATCAATAAGTCCTGGACTCCAGTCATATATCCAACATACTGAGCTGAAACTAACTACAAGGACTAGTGTTGACCAAGACCACAGAATTTGCCATATATAGGGTGGAGCTGATTCATCAACCCGATCTCCATCAGAGCAGAAGGACGGAGGCCTTGATGGATCTGAAGGATGAAGATGAAACATACGACGCAAAGCATAATTGCAAGGCACATATGGGAGTCCTTGTTATTAGGGCTCACCAAGACATATTCAGAGCGCAAGTTGGAGGTTTCGTTTGATATCTGTAATATAAAGATTTTTGCATCTTTTTTGACATATCTAAAAACAAGCCGTGCACGGTTACCTTGGTTCTTTTGAAACAAGACAAAAATCTATATTCACCATGCAAGCATGTTAATATTAGTCATGTAATTAAGTCATGTTTAAAATGTTAACAGATGTGCAGTGGGCATGGTTACATGCTAAGGTTGGGCATGGCAGCAATCTATGTTAGCATTAATCTTTAAATATAGACCAGCTGAAACTGATGGGAATTAGGTCACGAATTAGATTTGCAGTTTAACTCTACTTCATGTGTCTTCTGACTAAGCTACAACCCGAGGCTGAAAAATGATGCAAACATGTAGGTGCAAAAAACTGTGATTCCTCTAATGGCCACTTGAGGGTGGCTCTAAAGCCGAGTCAATCCGCTTAGACACCAAAATAAAATTCCCAATTTTACAACAGACATTAACACATTTACAGCCTGGCACAAAAAAGAAAGAAAACGGTTTTGGTCTCTATAGCTAATTTTAACATTCATGACAACTGTACGGGGGGTGAATTCTTATTTAACTCATGAGTTTACATTTTATTTCAGCCTAAAGTTCTGCAGATTTAAGGGCGGGGCAACTTGAGTGACAGGTTGCCTGTGAAGCGTTGGCACAGTCCATGAGTCAGAGCCATCCCTCGCACTTCCACAGCTCCAACCTCTCATCCAAACATGGTCACTTCTGGCTCCAAAAAAGACAAAATGGTGACGGCTGAAATGCCGAACTCAAGGCTTCAAACAAAGGAGTCCACAAACTAATGGGTGACGTCACTGTATCTACATCAATTGTTTTATACAGTCTATGCTTTTGACAGCAGGCATGGTTCTGGTGCTTATGGGGTTGTTTTGTGGATCCAGATGGTAGCACTATAGAACAGGGGCCATGTTTTGTTTCCTTGAAAATAGAAACAGGATGGGTAGGAGGAGTTGAGAAGTGAAGAAGTATATGCAGAACTGGCAGAACACCCAATGAAAGGTGGTTATGAGTTTCCACTTGGCTGTGCAGAGAGGGTGAAGGGGTAAAGCTGTAGGCAGCAGGCATGTTGGGAGTGAAAACAAGGGGCTGGGAGGGGATTCCCTACGCAACTGCAGATGTACCTAACACCTCTAACCCCTTAGTCAGAAGAATTTATGTTCGCTCAGTTCTGGCCGAGTTTCTTCCTTGGTGCATCGGCGTGCATGCATGTGTATACGTGTGCAGGTGTGCATGTGTTCGTACGTGCAAGCAAATTGAGGGTGGAGCACCAGGTGTGATGCCATTATTCTGTCATTACAGCAAATGGAAACTATGTCTTTCAGTGGAAAAGGGGCTTGCCCAAAGATGCATGCAATCATTTCAGGCAAGGCCACAGTGCATACCTGGGATAATTGCCATCATTCATTGTCGGGGGGGAAGCAGAGAGCAGCATAAAAAAGTCTAAACAGAAGCATCAACAGTAAAGGACGACAGCTTTGAATACCAGAAACTGCTGAAAAATGTCAGGACACACAGCCTAGTCCTTCAACAGTTATTGCTAAAAGGCCCTGAGCAGGGCATTTAAACTCTAAAGGAGACCCAACAGTGAAAAGATAGCTGTGCAAGGCAGTTCCCATGTGTGTGTCTGTGCACGAGAAGTGCAATTCCTGCTGAAAACATGCCTGTTTAAAAAGATTAAGCGCCTAAACCACACAAAGATTATGCTGAAAGGTTTCTAACCTCAACAGAATCCCATGCAGTAAGCTATCTGCTACCTTACATGGCCCACATTAAAAGGCATTTTCTCCTTCAAGAGGGATTATTCATCTAACAGCTTGTTGGACCACAAGAACTAAGCCTAACCAAACAAAATAGGATTGATGCACGGCCAGAATAGAGTGGAAGAAATGTAAACATGTTTCATTACTAATACTGTACAAACTATTAACTGCTTGTTTCTACGGACAAAAACGGATTCCTGCAAATCTCTGACTTCATGACTGTGAGCTACTGAATGGCCATCAATCTGTAACTGCATGTGTGTTTTGTGTTTGCATACGCGTGTGGAGGAAAACTCGGCAAATTTTCTAAGGGTAGGCAGGACATTTTATGATCAGCTCTGGAAGTAATAGTGTGAGCTCCGGATTCAGATTCTGTTTATTTTGTCTCATTCTGAAAACTCAGTGTCCTGGGTAAAATACCTTGAGGGTTTCACATTATTTTCAGCAGCCTGAATTACTTAGAGAGGATGGAAGTGGTCATCTCTTGCTGCTTCCCAAGGGGCTGCTGCTTTCTCTTTCTTAAATTAGCAGCACAATGGTATTTTGTTTCTCTCACTACAATAAAAACAGCCAAAATCACTAGTCTGGACTTATGAAAACTTAAAACCCCTAAAATAGACCCACAGAAAGCACTATTAGGGCCTGTCATTGAATTTGTAAACCAAAAAATGTATGTATAAATATATCAGCCAATCAATGTAGGAAATGATTTCAATATACAAGCTAACTGCGAAAGTTATTCAAGCCCTGAGCTAGACTGAAAAGTCATCAAGAGAGCAAGTGGTGATTCAGGACAAAGTTTAGTCTTTCACATAAAAAAAAATAAATCTTTGGGAGAGTTGGTCATTCCAGTTAATGGCTAAATAAGTCATCTTTGCCCTGAAGAGATTTATATATACAAAGCCTAATGTCTGGACTTTGGTGAGTACCATCTTTGTTCTGCTCTTCACAGACCTGACAACAAAACTATAAGGGTACAAAGGGTGACATTTTAGTTTTACATGCATAATTTACAAATTACAAAAGAATAGCAAATCATTAGCATTTCAAGATGCAACGTTGCTTCTGTCTGTAAACTTTGACTCAGTCTGAGGAATCGTCTGTCTCCATGAGGGAGACTTTGAAATAGAGCAGACTCAGGAGGATGGATGAATTCATTAACAAAAACACACAGTGTTGATTAAGTGATTGGAGTCGCCTGTGCCATCAACACTCGAGAGCAGAAAGCCTGACTGGTGGTCTGGCAGTCACAGCAGATCCATCTGGCGGGATTAAGGATTGGACAGATCCAACAAAAATGGTGCAGCATACGAAACCATGTGTCCCATGTATATGCCCATCAGAGGCAGAAGCCAGGATCTGGGTGGCAAGTGGGTGCTGGTGGAATGAGATGACAGGACTTTGGGTCCTCTCTGCTGAGATGCAACAAATAAATCCAGTATCCGAAGCTGTGGCTGAATCCACAACCTTGGAGGGTGGAGTGGCAGAGAGGCTGATGAACGAAAGGAAAGAGGAGACAAAGATTACAGGCAGCTGTATCTTAAGACTCCGTCATTAAGTCCTGTCTTGAGCCTGAGTTGCTGGACAAAAGCCGTAATGTTAAGTCATTGGTCGGCTGTCCCTGAAAAGCACAGAACATACTGCTCCTCCTCTGTTAACGTGTGGAAGGTCTCAGTATGCATGTTTACTTAAAAGGAACAAGCCTAGTCTACAGCCACGCTACCAGCACTGTGAGTCTGTGATGATCATTACTTGGGAGAAAAAAGATTGTTGAAAGGATGACAAATGGAGAGATACTCTTGATAGTCTTAGAGTCTTACCACTAATGGGGCCAAAAACATATATTTGAGTCTGATGTGCATAGGCGTTAGCTTTAGGTATCCTTACATGAACTGACAGGTTGAACCAGTGGAAAGTTTGACCGTGCTAGATAAAAAGGCGAAGGATAATCCAGGTCATTAGGATTTATTCTCTTGGGAACATAATGTTAAACCATCCAACAGTCGTCAATATATTTTGCCAAGGTAGCCACCTCTGGAGCCAAAGTATTAGTGTAGCTTAGAAAATGAGAAAGGCTTAATGGCCAAAAGTCATTAACACTAGAGTTCTTCTGTCCAAGAACAAAACTATGTAATTAATTTTGAACAACACATGGGAACCTAATCATTAAAATTCAGTCAACCAAACATGACACCTGGCAAGTTTAGATTCTCTCTAACTCATGC